ACACAGCGAGAGAGGGAACACAAGCAGGGGGAGTGGGAGAGGGAGAAGCAGGCCTCCTGCGGAGCAGGGAGCCCGATGCGGAGCTCGATCCCAGGACCCCGGGATCATGACCTGAGCTGAAGGCAGACGCTTAACGACTGAGCCACCCAGGCGCCCCAAAGACTTTTATTTTTAAGTAATCTCTACACCCAATGTGGGGCTTGAACTCACAAACCCAAGATCAAGAGTCACATGCTCTACCAAATGAGCTAGCCAGGCGCCCCTGAGAGATTATAATTTTTTTAAAAATTCCAGGGACAAGGAAGAGAGCCAAAAAGGCAAAGAAGAGTGTATGTCCCCACCTGCAGCCCTAGCACACCAATAGCTTGGCCAGGGAATAAAGCAGAAGAGAGAAGGGGGTGCAGAAAGATTTGTCCAGAGTTGATCAGCTGGGCAAAGGGGTCAGAGGGAATCCACCAAAGTTCTGCAGTGGGTCACATGAAAATGAGCTCTCACTGAACCTTAAAACAGACCCCTATTTTTGACAGCATCCTACCAGGAGGAAGAAAAGGGACTAAGACATGATTCTAGAAGCAATGATGGAAATTCTTCATACTTTGAAGACAGTTTATGCGATGTTTGGTAAATGACACCTTCTACACACGCACACACACACACACACACACACACACACACAGTCGAAATAGAATCCGTACTTTAAGAACACCACCCCAGTAAATACTAGCAGGAAGTGTCTGAAAGCTTTTGTTCTGCTTCTTTGCTAAGCTAGTAGATTTGGGTGTGGTTTCCTTTACAACCAACGTTCATTTGATTACTACCCGAGAACGGATTTCCGGACTGTTTTTGGGTCTCTCGGAAGGTGTGAAGGCAGCTATACTCCTATGAACTTGTACGAAAGTTATCAAAAAGGAATCCTAGAACACCCTACAATGGTCATTTTTCTAACTCGAGAGAGACCCTGTGAATTTAGAACCTTTCCTTTTTGACTGAGGGAAGTTTAGGCCCTCCCCACCTGGCTGCTAAACAATTTATTTCTGTGACAAAATATTTTGCAATCGCAACAGCAGATAATGCAGCCTTATAAAGCCCTGGTACTAAAACTTCATCTGGGTTGCTAGAGATTGTCCTTTACCCACTTCAAGAACATCCAATAGAGATCAATCTGGATTATCTAGGGCATATAACTCAGCCACAATTCTCACATGAAGAAATAGATCTCCTTTGGAATAAAGCTGAGATCATTTGGAACCCAAGCAGTGTACTTTTCCTGAATCTGACCGGCTATTCCCATAGTTCTATGCCACAGGGAAATACCGTGATTGCTCCTTTTACTATCGTACTGAATGAGAAAAGCATAAAATCCTTTGGCCACTTGAGAACGGGCCTGCAATGACTTAAAAGCTAATTTAGCAGGGGGCAAAATGTTTGGAATGCTTCTGGCCACAAACCACAGATGCCTGCAAGCTAAGGTCTAAGACCCACGTAGGAAGTACAGGAAGAAATACACTCCCCAGTTTTTCCTACTAGAAAATCATGGTTTGGTGTGAAGCATACCAGAGACTCCTGCCCATCTCCTCATCCCCCACCCTGTCGTGGTTAGTATGAACTTCCTTTCATGACACAGGGAGAGGTATAACCACAGAGAGTGGTTTCATTGTATTTATAAACCCAGAGACTAGAGAAATTGTGAGAGGCTGCTCTAAGCTGGAAGAGAATATTATCAGAATAACCTGGAGAGCTTTTCAAACTATAGGAAATCTCTTCTAATGCTGAGACATTTGGCCTCTGAATCCAGCAGCCAGTTTGCAGGAAATGCGGAAGACAGGAGCGTGCTGAACGGTACCAAGCACACACAATCAACAAAACTCAGACTGGGGGAAATTCTACCCGCCAATTGTCCCGGGCCTCTTCAACAGATAAATGTTAAAAAAAAAAAAAAAAAGTGGGCGCCTAGGTGGCTCAGTTGGTTAAGCGACTGCCTTCGGTTCAGGTCATGATCCTGGAGTCCCAGGATCGAGTCCCGCATCGGGCTCCCTGCTCAGCGGGGAGTCTGCTTCTCCCTCTGACCCTCCCTCCTCTCATGTGCTCTCTCTATCTCATTCTCTCTCTCAAATAAATAAATAAAATCTTTAAAAAAAAAAAAAAAGAAAGGGAGGGGTTGGAGGGAGAGGAGTTTAACCTGTAGATTAAAAAACACTCAAAAGAAAAAAACTGGCCAAGACTAAACCTGACATCTAGGGATGCACAGGTAAATGACAAAACCATAAAGAAACATCAGAACATTGTTACTATAAAAGCCAGGACAGTGGTTCTTCTAGGGGGTGGGAAGGGTTGTGATTGGAATGGGGTAAATGGAGGGGTTTCTCGAGTGACTGGTAAAATTCAAATTCTTGACCTGGGTGATGGTTTCAAAAGGATGAGGCTTATAATAATTCATTAATCTGTATGTTTGTTTTATGTCATTTTTCTACACTTGTGTCTTGTTGGGTTTTTTTTTAAAGAATAAAAAGATAAAAAGAAAAGAAAAGAAGTGTAAAAAACAAAAACAAAAATGTATCAGAACTTTCAGGGGCTATCTAAGGGAGAAAATTACTAGATTCTGACAAGTGGCAGTAAGTATAAGAATGTTAGCCATGTATCTTTGCCCATCCCATCAAGGTGGCTTAGTTCATCCTGCTAATCTCTCTAGTTATTCATGGTAAAAGCATATAAACAGAAAGGGTTCAGGCCATTTTCTCAGAAAGAGAAAAGGAAGATTGTATCCATCCCATTCATTCATGCTTTCATTCAGAGCACCATTTTGTAACAGATTCTACAAGGTTCTGGACCTATAATGATGAGTAAGCCTCAGTCCCCAACCCCACAGAACCCACAACCAACCTCAAGAAAAAAGGAGCCTCAAGAAATGACTCATCAAAAGATATAGAGACTAAAATCCCTGAGGGCTCTAAAAGAGGAAAAAAGATCTCAAAGACTGTGAGCAATGTAAACAAAATGAACCTACTCAGGTCTACCGGTCGGACACCAGGAAATATATTTAATGAATTAGTTACACAGGCCTCATTTGACCCACCCCATGTAAAACAGCTTCCCACTCCTCAGTGATTTTTCTGAAAACCAATTTTATTTGTCAATAATATCAGTTGATCTCAGGAGAATGTGATATGGGAGGGCTACATGTGCAATATAGGCTCGACAGTGTGGGTGATACTCGCATTCCTAAGTTGCATGGGGGGTGGTTCATGGCTGTTCACTTAGTACTACATTTCATAACTTCTATACACGTTACTTGTTTTTTGTATGTTATCAGACATTGCATAACTTAAAATCTAATAAAAATAGCGGCTGATGGGGCGCCTGGGTGGCTCAGTCGTTAAGCGTCTGCCTTCGGCTCAGGTCATGATCCCAGGGTCCTGGGATCGAGCCCCGCATCGGGCTCCCTGCTCCTCCCTCTCCTACTCCCCCTGCTTGTGTCTGCGTTCTTGCTATCTCTGTCTCTGTCAAATAAATAAATAAAATCTTTAAAAAACAAAATAGCCGTTGAATAGCACAATTATAAAGTAATGTTAAAGGGTAAAATCTGAAAAGTGGCCCCTTCCTAAGTTAACTAACTTGCTTGTTACAAGTTGATATTAGAATCAAAAGAAAAACATACAAAGTTTTGAGGCCTGGAAGAGAGACCTGCTGCTACTTTGCTACCCTTAAATATGACCCATATAGCAATAATATTAATAGACAGCAATTATGTTATTATTAAAAATACTACCATTAGTTCAAAACACCTGTACAGTCCTCTACAAAGCACATCCTCAAACATATGTCTCATTTGATTTTCACAAAAACCCTACACAGGAGATAATGCAAAGTTCCTCAAAAGGACACGCAGGGTCCCTCAGAAAGCACACCTACTGTAGATGAGGAACGACTCATTCTCACTCTGCCATGATTTCCTGCCTCCTCATTTCCACACATTTCTCTACGGGAAAACACAGTGGGTGCCAAGAGCAGTTTAACCACTTACCACCTGATTACTAGGTGCCAAATTTTACCCACATTATGTTGTCGAATTCTCCCAACAGTCCTGGAAGGAAGAAGTGTGATTGTCCACAATATGACACATGAGAAAACAGAGACTCAGAAAGCTGCAATCACTCGCCCCACATCAGGGCACTAGAACCAGGACTAAAACCCAGGCCCGTCCAGCACCGAAGTCAACGTTCCTAAGCGCTGTATGACATCATCTCCAGCAAATAAAAACCCTTCCTGAAAACCCTGTCCGGCATATTCCAACACTGATTACGGCAGTGCTCACAAATACCCTACTCTATATGACACACTTACCATCTGGATTTTGGGAATCGATTCCCTCAGAAGGAAGATCATGTCCTTTAAGTTCTCTGAGCCGATGCTTTCTGACAGTTCATAGAGCAGGTTTCTAAGACACACATCCAGAGAGACAAATAAAACCTCACACTTGCAGAGGACAGCATAGTAAATCAAGTGCTTTTTTTATAAACATTCTCTTTCACGTGAATGATCACAACCTATGAGTAGACAATTTTGAATCCCACTGTACAGATTCAAAACTAAAACTCCGAGCTTTAAGTGGCCTATTACATTAAGATAACACAGTAAGGGGGCGCCGGGGTGGTGCAGTCGGGTAAGTCTCTGACTTGATTTTGGCTCAGGTCATGACTTCAGGGTTGTGAGATCAAGCCCTGCATCAGGCTCCACACTGAGCATGGAGTCTGCTTAAGATTCTCTGTCTCCCTTCCCCCCCAACCCCGCGCCCCCGCGCGCACACATGCTCGCTCTCTCTCTCAAAAAATAAGATTAAAAATAAAATAAAATTTAAAAAGATAACACAATAAGCGGTAGAGGCAGGCTCAAAGATCAACTAAACTGTGTTATATATTTGAAAGTTGCTAATGAGTGGGTTTTAAAAGTTCTCATCACAAAAATAAAATTTATAACTATATGTGGTGATGAATGTCAAATTTACTATGGCGATCATTTCACAATATATACATATATCAAATCATGATGTTGTACACCTAAAACTATTATAATGTTGTTAGGTCAATTATATCTCAATTACAAATAAAAAATCTTAAATAAATAAAATCGTGTTATCTAAGGTCTGACCCAGGATAGACCAGATGCCTGTATGTCACCCCATGGGTAAAATGTCTGTATTTTACCTCTCTGGGCTTCACCCAAAAATGTATGAAAATTTGAAACTGGACATGGCATAAATGATGTCCTTCCCTACCCCAGAGACACATCTCCTTTTTCATTTTGCTTATTTGGCCGCAAGAACACATGCATTCCCTCCCTTTGAGTCCCCACAGTGACTCACAGGAAGGGTTGTCTGTGAATGGGAGAGTAAAAGGAAAGGGAAGGCCTGCTTTGTTGAGGCAGGCTTCCTTTGTTGGTGAGAAGCCAACCAAGGGCAGCCACTGGCAGGCCCAGAGTGGGACTTTGAAAACCCTTGCTGACCTCCCAACCTCTCATCTCATGAGTACCTGCCTTGGAGAGATCTCCTGGTTTAGAAGCACTGTGTCATCCAAGAACATAGATAAGAAAAAGATCTTAATCCCAGCCTCCTTTCTTTTTTTTTTTAAACAGGTTTTTTTTTTTTTAAGATTTTATTTATTTGACAGAGAGACAG